GAGAGAGAGAGAGAGAGAGAGAGAGAGAGAGAGAGAGAGAGAGAGAGAGTGTGGTTATGTGAGCGAATCCGTAATCTTACTATTGTAGTTTCAGAAGTACCAGCCTCTCATGCCTAGAGTGATATAAATGCACTTTACATGTATTTCCTATATGAGACACGAAGTGGTAGAATCAGGCGCTCGTCAATTTTTGGCCATGTGGAGTTATTGGTATCATCTTAAAGCCTGTTCTTTTATCTTCCTTTTATTTTTGGCCATATTGAGTTATTGGTATCATCTTAAAGGCTGTTCCTTTATCTTCCTTTTGGTGAAAAAAATATCTATCTTTGTTGAATAGAAATAAAAATATTTGCACTTGAAGTTGGTCAAGGTCGCTTTGTTTCAGAGGTAAAATTAGCGATAATATGGCAGCCAAAGTTTGGTAACTTCCACAGCCTGAGAGTCCTTGGAAAATGGAAATTTAAATTTTACATTTTTTGTGTGCCTTTAATCAATGTGTTTCAGTAAATCAACACAAAAATGTGTTTTTTAATTGGACAAAAAAGATGTTGAGTCACAATAACGAAAATTAGAAATAAATTGCCTATAGGCCAAAAAAAAAACATTTTTCAACGCCGATTTCTTTGGTTTCTTATTTTGACGAGCGCCTGATTTCACCACGATGCCTCACATAATATGGCTTGTTCAATTTAGAGATGGATATTAAATTCGAAGGTCCCACCTTCTTAGCCAATGTCTCATTATGCGCGACGCGACATTTAGTCGCCCACGACAGTCGCTTGTGATTTGTCACGAGGTGTGTATCCTTCTGCGCGACCACAAAAGTCGTTCCAAAATGTTCAGTCGCGAGTGACAAAAGCAATCAAACTGTCTCCTTATACGCGACGAGTCATTTAGCCGCGGGCAACCGTCTAAGTCCTCTTGCGACTGCCAATTCACAGAAGAGAGACAGTGGCAAATTTAAATGTTAAGATGGGCAGAGAAGTACAAGTCCATTAGATGAGAGTTCTACGAGCCGTTGACTGTTTTTATTCCGTACTTGGCCAATCCTGTGTAAGTCCTCCTCCTCCTCTTCCTCCTCCTCCTCTTCCTCCTCCTCCTTCTTCTCATCCTTCTCCTTCTCCTCCTCCTCCTCCTCCTCCTCCTCCTC